TTTCCCCCTCCCTAATCATGGGGCCAGGGGCATCCTCTTTCTTCCCCAGTATCCTTGGGCCATCTCGGGGCCAGGCACTGGTCTAGGTTTGAACAATCCTCTCTGCTCCTGTCCGCGTTTTCTACGGTGCCTGAGAAGCCGTCCACCCTCAGTATTCCTTAGTGGCCCACGATGTCTTGCCAAGAGTCACTGGAAAGATACCACTGTCCTGTTTATTTTTACAGTTGCTAATTGCTTGTATGTTCATCATCATCTAATTTTTTTTTTGATTAAAGTTCATTTTCACAAACTAACCCTCTTGTTTTTGTTTGTTTGTTTTTTCCCTTCTCTTTTCTTCTCCGGTTTCCCTTCTCGTTATGGTAGACTGATCCTTGGTTATCATTGCAGAACTATGGCGGCGGAATGAGACCTCCACCCAACTCTTTAGGCCCTGGCATGCCTGGAATTAACATGTAAGGCAAATCCTTGATACTATAACTTGTGCTTGTGGCTCTGACTCTCGCGGTGGGATGCGCTATGGAATCCCACTTCTACATTGTTGTTATGCTGCACCCAGTCTCATGTATATCAAAAGCTTATTTTTTTTCTCTTTTCAACTTAATTCTAGGGGCCCAGGTGCTGGAAGACCATGGCCCAATCCCAGCAGTGCTAATTCAGTAAGTTTGTCTCTATCTACATTGGCCTAGAGCAGTAGTGCTCACCTGTGGAGCTGCGTCATCTGCCTACAGGGCTGCCCACAGATCCAGAAAGTTGATGGCTGCTCCCTTGCTCCCAAATTTCCAGACCCATGGGGAGCTTAGCATGATGATGTTGCCCTGCTTACCAGATCACCAGTCCACGGTGGCGCTGGCGCGTAGGGTCACTCTGTGGCTGAATCTGGTGTGTGGGGTTGGGCCAGGGGACAGCCAGATCTGGCGTGTGGGATTGGGCTGGTGTGCGGCCAGATGTGGCACGCTAGATGGGTCATGCGGGGGGGGTCAGGCTGATGTGCTGCCGAGTCCAATGAATGGGATCAGGTCAGTGCATGGAATTACATCTGCATGTGGGATCTGGCCTATGGACCAGCCCCATGCCATGCATCTGGCCCACAAACCCAGAAGGTTGAGAGCACCACTGGCTTAGAGCACCCTATAAAATGTGGCTTCCTTTCTGTATCTTTGTCTAAACTCTACTCTTGCTCAACCTCTTTCCTAAAAGCCTCCTCCTAAGAACTTAGCTAGTCTACAGGTATTGCATGGAAGTGGCTGGATGCTGAAACCTGGACAGTTAGGGTTACAGTGGGTTCGAACAGGGACGAGCGCCGAAGGCATCATGCAGCACCCTTCATGCCATACAGTGCTTCCTATCATGGGTGTGTCAGCCAACGAATCCAGCTAAGGAGATAATACTAGGTTACATGCCACTTCCATTCACCTGACCACTGCTGCAGCATGTCTACAGTTCAACTCTGTCCTGGTTGTAATCCATTCCTTAGCTGGCTTTCCAGCCAGTGTCTTTGTGATTCAGGGAAGGGGTATGAGGATTTGCAACACTTCGCCCACGTGAGGGAGGGACCTGGGGGAATAGCACAGAGAGAAGGAGGGAGGCAGCATCTTCCTGCAAGCGCCTGGTCATCTGGGAACTCCAGATGTTGGACATAGCACAGAACGCCCACAGCCTTGCTCTCATATCATTAATTTTCTTTGTCTCTTGTATGCTACCGATCATAAGGTTTAGGGGGGCGACTGGGTAAGCAAACGATTGCGTGGCAGCACATTAAGTGTATCATGGGCATCTATAAGCTGCTGGAATTCAGTTTAATTTGTGCTTCTGTTTGATGAAAATGGGGCGTGGGCACAAGAGATCAAGGTGTGTGGCTGACAGTGCTTTGGGGAGACGCTGTATTTTAGATACTCACCTCTGTCCTATGATCTGTGTTTAGATTCCATACTCCTCTTCATCGCCTGGTACATATGTGGTAAGTTCACTGATTTACTTGTCCGATTTAAATCATGAGCATCAAATCTCTTCACACCCACATGAGTTGATTGACTTAACCAGCCCGGAGTGAGCTAGATTCCCTTACGAAGCTGCCCCCTTTTATCCCCGGGTTGATGGGGAATTTTGAGCAGATTCAGGAATCGCGAAATGCGAGACCTTCCTTGGGGTGCGGAGGAGGGGAGAAGCAATGTGCTTTCAGTTGCCAGAACAATGTCCTTCTCCCACGAGGCGCATGAGGTTTTAAAGTGCTGCCCTACGTGTTGTGGCAAATACGTTCTCATACCCGCACACATACCCTCCCCGTGAGCGCTTGCCAGTTCGGAAAGACAAAAAAGTCCTGATTTTTCTCGAGGCTTAAATAAAGAATTGTACCTTGGCTACGAGAGTGCATCAAAGGTTTTAGCAGGAGATTAATGCTTGGCTGAATACCAAGGTGA